AATCAAGGGACTAATGAAAAAAAAAAAAATGGCGTTCCCCTTTAAGAATCCTTGCTTCACATTTATTTTCTCTCAAACTCTTTTAGCTCCATATAAACTATCTTACTGTCAAAACCTCAAAGATTCCTGACCAGAGTTTGAAGCTCACCTTGATTTCTACTTGAGCACCTTCATGGAAGTTCTGAGGAGCAACTCCAGGAACGTAGAAGGCCCCGCCCACAGGAAGTAGGGCTAGTAGCAGCAAGGCCCGCCACGTCTCCTGCAAAACACATACGCCACACATACTTACTGTAAGGGTTACACTTTAAACTGCCGCGTTTATGAAGGCTCACAGGCCTGATTATAATTAGGTTTTTAATCCTAAGAAATGATTTAAAGAAATATTTTAAAATTCAGACTTCTCCACATTCTTCAACAGACCGATAATAAGTTATCCAGAAATGTAAAAATACAGAAAATTGTAAAAACAACAACTAAAAAAAGAATTATATTTTTATATTAATTTTTAAATTAATGATGATTAGAGAAAACAGTCATGTTCAGTTGAAATGTTTAAAAATATCTAGACTGGAAATATATCCTCTTATTCCTGAAAGCCTTAAAACATGATTTTTGGGACTCTCTAAGGCTACTTTCACACCGCAGCCTGAAGTGACCCAAATCCGATTTTTTGGCCCATATGCGACCTGGATCGGATCTTTTCATGTCAGTCTGAACAACAGAGATCGGATTTTTTCCGATGCGACCCAGAGCACTTGGCTCTGTGGTCCTGAATCCGATACGAATCTGATCTTTTCAAATACGATCTGCATCTGAACGGCCATTCATCCGACCTGGACGCCATCTATAACCGACATAGGTCACTATTCTGCTTCTTGCTGCACAGAAGCGGCAAGAAAAACAAACGCCATGGCGGAAGATGATGCAGAGAGCAGTATTATTTTTAACCATCTGGAAAAGATTGAGGTTTTAAGGTTTTAAAAGATCGCAAGATGCGTTTCAGCACTACATTCACGTTTACTTCCGTAAACAAGAAGCACGCTGGCTTGTGACGCCATTGCGTTCTCTACTGCGCATGCAGGACACTTAAGCTGTATGAATGCAGTTCACACCGGAGATCACATAGAAGTCGCAAATATTTGGAAATGTTAACAGCAACGCAAAATAAAATCAGAATGGAGCATCAGCCTGCAGCGTGAACGTAGTAAGTGAACCCTAAGAGATTACGAGTTTAGATTATTCTGTTTTCAGTACTTAACTTTAGCTTAGCAATAATACAGAACGTTAGAGACTGAACTAACAGATTCAGATCTACAATAATGAATAAAGCACATCATAATCACATTAAACACGACAGAGCAACAGAAAAAGATCCAGGATGTAGAAAGAAAGGCAGGCTGTGTGGATTGTTGCAATGTATCATAACTTATTTAGTTTTAATCAATTATTAACTGAAACAATCAACTAAGTCACGAGTGAAATAATGTTAACCTCAGAATACAAACAATTACAACCAAAAAAACTAAACAAATATGGATTTTTCTTTTACATATTTTAGTAACCAGCAATTAATCTAAAATGTGCAATAAATGTTTTCTACTGTTCAAACATTAAGTATGTTGATTCACTGAGAGAATCTCCTTTTACATTAATTAAAATGTTGCTAGATTAATCAATTGCTGAAATAACTGAC